GACTCTATATTTTTATATATATATATATATATGCATTACTGCTGTTACCTACCATGAGTTAAGCACCAATTCCTAATGTGGCTCTGCTCTGGACTATTAGGTTTGCACCCTAGAAAAAAGGAAAAAAGTTTTGAGAGAGAAACGAAGGGAGCAGAGTACATAGTGCTTGAGCAGGAACTTTTATAAACTTAAACTTCTGTCTGTGTCATGGTTCGAGGGATAATACTAGCGGTAGTTTGTAACCTTAGAATCTGTGCGCTTCTGTATGTTGGGTATTTTTCAGTCTTGCAAAGGTAGAAAATCAACTTTTAAAGTGAATTACAGACAAAACAATTCCTTCCTAAGTCTTCCTACTATATTTACATGTGCAATACTTTGGTTATAAATAAAAAATAATTCAATCAATAAGCAGTTTAAGCTAACAGTAGTATAGCTCTATGCTACATGGCTTGTAAATATTCAACTCTTACGGACAGGGCCCTGAGCAACCTTATCTAATCTAGAATTTAGCCCTGCTTTGAGCAGAGGATTGGACTACAGTACCTCCAGACAACCCTTACACATGAAATTGTGCAGTGACTATGATCTGTAACTATAATCTGTACAGTTAAGATTTATGTTATGCTCTGCAGGCAAATTTATTGTAAGGGCACACAGACAAGTAACCATAGTTTGTGGAACCACTTTTGTAGTGCATGGCTTCCTAGTGAATATCCAGTGTCTTGTATCCCTTTCTTTTCTTTAAAGGAGATAGATATGAAATACCTCTTCCCCAAAGCATGTCTCAATATCTGATTGCTTGCAGCACTTGTCTACCATGGCAGTGAAACCAGCAGCAATTGTCTTTATTTGTTCTTCTGTCATCTGGGGCTTGCGTTTAATGAGGTTGACAAGCAATCTGAAAACAAAGCCACAATAAACAGTTAGCTCTACCTGTTGTAGTTTGGTTTCTCAATTTAAAATATGCCATTCTATGCAGGTACAGCTCATTCGTGAGGCTTTTGAGTCCTACCTAGCGGAGCCTGTGCCTATTTGTGACTCCAAACTCCCAGCCTACCACAACCATCTGTTTGCTTTTTATTATCCCAGTTACAGGTGGGAAAGAACTTATTGAAATGATCTGTCGGTTGTCTTAGTTAAGTACATCCAAAGACTTGCACTGGCAGTGGACCTACATGAAACTGGTCAGCTAAGACACTGATTCCATTTGAAAAACATACCCTGTTTTGTCTCTTCCGAACTACATGGTCTTGTGCACTGACAAGCTCAGTACAAATGCATAGTTCCATCTGGTTTTCTCTCTGTCAGTACTGAAGTCCCAGTCAGATGACAAAACAGGGGTTTTGTAGCTTCCTTCTGCAAACAACCCCCCTGCCCCCCAAAGTGTTACGCTTCAGAAGTTTTTCTACGAGGTATTTCTTTTAGCTTACTTCATCTGTCAGCAGGAGGAGCACTGCACAGTTTTTCATCAAAGTTGAACATGTCAGGGTTAAATGGTGGAGGCACAAATTTGGTATCTACTCCCATGGCAGTGAAACATGGTCTCCTGTAAGAAAACGACTCGCTGCAGCAATGTGAAACGTTGTCATTGATAGGTGTCGTCTCCTGTCTTCTGCACATGTCCTGAATCACAATGTCCAGCTGAAAAGAGAATGAAAGAAGGACAAACTGAGTTACACCTTCTACAATAACAGTGGGAAGTGGAAGGTCTTGGATCTAAACACCTGCTCAGAAATGGAACGGTCTTAAAATTTAAAATATTCCTGGAGTTGGGCATTTCTTAATCTGCAAACAGTCTGTTCATTGGGCTACAATCAGCAAGTACGGTTTTCTTTCAAGAGACTGTTTAGCTTTCCCAAATGCAAGCTGCCGCAGACCCGAGCAACTGCCTTTTTTGCTTTCTGAGGGAGAGCAAAGTTTAGCTAAAATTTTCACAAGCTACCATCAGAAAGAACCATTTAGGTTCTCACATCCATTAAAAATTAACAGACTTTGAATTCTGTTAGGTAGGTGCTTAGCTTGGGGTTTCTGTAAAATTGTTGTGAGATTACTTTCTCGCCAGAATTTGGTGTTTTTGTGAATGGAAGAAATCTCCAAGAGGAGTAGAGAGAATAAATAAATGTACTCACATATCCCTCAGAACAAGGTAGGCGTCTGTCTTCAGGAAGCTGGCAGCACTTAGTACCAATGGCTGTCATTTTCTTTCCAATTTCAAGCAGTGTATCAGTTGATACCTGAGGCATTTTCTTAGTGTAGCGGATCAGAATTCTGAAAAAAAAAAATCAAAATGACTGCTCACATTTGAAGAATGCTCTACTGAGCTAGACTGGTGAAGTGAAAATAAAAGTGAAGACCAAATAAATTTGCCCAAAGCAGCCAGCATCATGGTTTAGACTCAAGAATATTTACCAGACAGTACTTACGCTTTAAGAAAGTCTGGCTCGCCATGGGCAGCGAGAAGGTCACAGTTTGTCTTTACAACATCCTGAGTTTCTTTGATATGTTTGGTTGATTCCTCTTGCTGCAAGCAAGTATAAATTTATTAGTAATGCTAGAGCAGGATATCCTGGTAACAGTTATACAGATATACCTTTTGACCTCTTCTAAATCGTATTAGCTATAAGATACCAATTTGCATGGCTGATCACTTTGATATAGCCTGGGTGCCATAGGGAGGACTTGGTTCTCATGTGAGTCTTCAGTTCTAACAGATATTCAGTTAAAAAGGCTGCAAGATTTTTGACATTTAATTTCAATGAAGTACTCATTGGATGCTACTTTCTAGACAATGGCTTCTGTTTGTTTAAATCAGATTAATATTTTTAAAGTATAGGATTATCAACTGTGAAGGGAACATCCTCTTTCTGTCTCTTGGCCAAAGCTGTCTGTGACTCAACTTGTGCTCTGGCTTGAGTGTGACTCAGTTCAAGGTTAGGAGACCTAGGTTTAGGAGTCTCTATGTGAGCTGGCTATGCAGGTTCCCATTGTAATCCATGAGCAGCTATATGCATATAGGCAAGTGGAGCCCATGGAATAATTCAGCTAACCAGTCTGAAATTTCATAAGGTGATCAATGAAGTTACTCCATGATCTGAGAAGACTCTATATCCTTGTCATGGGCCTTGGGCTGCTTCATCCCCAATCGGAATACTAATTTCCCCTGGGATTAGTCTCTCAAAATGCTTTCTGTCTGGTCTTCTGTAGGAGCTTCTCAACCCAATTGTTTCATGATAGGTATCAACCAAGCACTCTAGTTATTTGCAAACAAACTTTGCACCTACAGCATTTGCATAGCACTCAGCAGGGTTGTCTGTTTTGCAGCACTTTTCCAGGAGTGTTTCATATCCCTTAGCAACTCTCAGAATCAGCTGCGTGGAGAACTCAGGGTGTCTTCGTGAGTATTCATAAACAAACCTAAAAGACACACAAGCTGACAGCATTAGAGCTCCCAAATAACCTGCTGCATTCTTCATGCACAACACAGTAATTGACAATGACAGTTCCTCAGATGAGATCATGTGAGGTGGACAATGAGCTTGGAATGCTGTTTGCTTGTTTCAGTAGAATTTTTTGGTTGTTCTGTTCTCTGCCAACAGGGCAAACGTCAGAGGAACAAAATAGTTCCCCAGGACAGAATGCTTCTTAAGCAGATAATGTATGAGGGCATGCACAAAGCCCCTGAATAAAAAAGAAAGGCACTGATAAAAGCTTTGATAAGTAGGACAATACCGAACAGAAACAACCACAAAGCACAAATGAGAAACTAGGGGTTCAGCTAGGGTTGAATCTACATTAGTTACATTGGGCTTCCAAAAGTCACTTTGCTTACTGTTGGCACTACTTACTCTGACAGGAATGCGTCATGGCCTGCCTCAAAGCTTTTACATACTTCCTTATTGTTTATGTATCTTTCAACTAGTGAAGGAAGATCTTCAGGTTTGTCATCAAACTCTGCATCCATAATGCACTGGCTTCGTTCCACAATCGGCTTCTCACAGCAGCCTTTGATTTTACTTGAGAAAACATCTTGTTTAGAGCACATATAGGCTATAAGCTCTGCCTGTAAAATTAAAACATATTATCAAGCAAGCTATGAAATAATAATTTAAAGATAGATTAATTCATCTTCTCTTTATTAGACTTTTCCCTTTTCCTTCAGGTCACCTATTTACCTAATTATCACTTTCATAACGAAATGCTGACTCTGTACAAAAAGGAATAATCAAAGGGACAAGCATGTCCTGTGTGTGCTGAGCATGAAGTTCACAGGTGCGGGGAAGAATGAGGTTGCCTTCCTGATCTTAGAGACGTTGAGAAGACGAACTCTGGAAAGGCAAGGAAAGTCATTGAATGGTCTTTCACAGGGATGCCTGATTGATCTTTTCAGTCCTATCACATGTCCACCTCTGATAGAGGACAAAAAGTGAAAAACCTCAGAGCTTCAGAAAGCTACCACTGGACATCAGCTGGTAAAAGAAGTGTGTCCAAGTTCCAGCTGGACAGGCAATATTTAAATCATGTCACTATTGCACAGCTTTGCTAATCCTCCCATGCAAGCTTTCCTGTAGAGATCATCAGCATTTCAGGAAAGCTGGATTAATGGCCACATACACAACAGGACAGAAAAAAAAAATGTGGCTTTTTTGCCTCTGCTTTCTTTTGCTTTTTTTGTGATTGACCTGAAGTGAGTAAATATCATCAAACAATCTCCCTGACAAATGTTTTGATTTCAACCACACACACAGGCTACATTATAGGTAACAGCTCCTTCCCCTCCTGATCATAAAGGGCTAGATCTGGAATTGGTCCAAAACTCAGTTCCACTAACAGTCAGCTGAGCTGCCCATGAGTTTTTCAGTGGCTGAGGAACCTGCCAGCCGTGTTGAGTACAATTTCCCTGGACGGTGAATGAATAGCTGCACAAATTATTGTCTTACTAAACATTTTTCAAGTATGTAAACATTTTTGAAAAATATTTAGCTTACCATGTCATCCATGCACTCTACCATGTCCCCTTCACAGCACTCTTTGTGGATACCATTAATATCATGTACAAGTTTACCAATTTCTGAGAATGGAGCCTTGGGATATTTCTGGCTGATGGCAGCAAGTTTACTAGACGGAAAAAGAAGAAAAATACACTTGCTTTAAAGCTCCATATTGAACATAAAATTTGCAAGTCACTAACACTTATGGTACTGTAGATTAGCATTGTTCCAAGTAAATATTCATTAATTCTTCTTATCTAATTTCTGAAAAAAATAGAAAAAAAGGGCATTGACACCTGTGCCAGGAACTCAGTGCTCATTTAACAGAGACAGAAAGAAACAAGTCTGTGATTCTTGTGTTCCATCTGAGCGATCTATGTAAGAATCACACCCTAGAATTCCTCATCACTCTTGAGTGACTGTAAAGCATCTCTAGATTATTTACACAGACATATATAGTCCTAATCAAACCTTTGAATCAAAGCTGACTGTATCTAGTAGGTAATCCTAGTCAATGTCAGTGTATTAGACTAGCCACAGAATGAAAGTGGGCCTCTCTGTTTAGGCAGGTGATCCACATAATTGCAAATCTTTCTTCGTCTTGAAAACGTACTTTTGACAAGATCTGTGATTCTGCCCAATTTGACTCTTTGATTGCTATGAGGTTCAAAGTGGCAACTTATTTGCTGATAACCGATGTGCCTAACACTAAAAGCTGTAGGCACAGAAACGGGACACAGCTTTGGCAAAAATTTAGATTAAACACACTGGAATCTCTGGTTCTGAGCGACACTTTGTCAAATAACTCCACACCTCCTGGACTGGTTCTAGAGATGGTTTCATTTCTTTGGAATGCTCACAGATGATGTTTTTACTAGTACTCACTATCAGCCTGGAATACACAGGTTCCCCGACTTTACACAGAAACCTGCTCAGAATTAAATGCTGCATTTAAATAAATAGGCTAAGAAATCACTGTCGGCCTAGTGTTGAAGGATGGACCCACTGACCTCTCTTCTGTTGGACAATGGTCCTCAGCCAAAAGTACACTAGGAAATACCATGGGTTCAGTTTTCAAACTCAGCACATAGAAGTGAATTATTTATGCTGATATTTTCCTCTAGTAGTTTCAGGTTTAGGTTAACTAGCTTAATTTTTTTTAAAAAACTGATTGGAACTTACTTTGCTTTGAAAATTCTCTCTCCGAACTTGTGGAGGATTCCACAAGAATACTGCTGCTTCACACTTATTTTCTTGGCTTTTTCTTTGATGGCAGCTGCCTGTAGTGACAGGATGCAGATTGTCACATTAAACTGATTACATCTAGTGGACCGAGAAAAAAGCAAACTGGAAAATCCCACTTCAGAAACACAGCAGGTTCTGGTCCAGTTAGCTCTGATGAAAAGCCAAGCAAACTGAGAATTCCTAGGGCAGCCCTAACCAGTTCGCAGGGCAGCATCTGATTTCTAGTCTGTACTAGAACTAGACATTCTTCTACAGACGTTCACCAAATACTTAAATTTCATTTTAAACCTGTGGCTTCAAAGGAGCATAAGTTGTCTTTCAAAGCACTGCAGGGATTACACAGTTTCTCAGTCTTTCTCCTCCATTTGCTTGGGCAACGAATAGGGGAAGGATAGGAGAGACCTCTCCCATGCCTCCACATTGGATGTGGCAATGGCACGTTAGGCTGCCAAGTTTTTTTTGCCTCCAGTAGCGTGCCTTCTCACTACAGGTTGCTTCAGATGAAAAATCCCAAGTGCTACACGTTACTTGGATTCAGCACATCTGCGCAATACTCATAGCTGCCTGACAAGGTACTAGCAAAGGGACAAAAATGCAAGCTTAATTATCTACAGTTTGATTCTTTTGGCTTTTCACTTAAAAAAAATGCAAATATTAATTTTTTTGCCATCTTAGTTTCTATGAAGCCATAAACAAATGTTTGTAAACAATGAAAACCATGGGAATGAGCAATTTTGGAATTATAAACCATGATTTAACATTGGCCTTTTAAAATAACTTCTCACTTTAAAGAGAATCGTTGCTAAGATCAGAGGAGACCTTTATGTAGCAGACCAGTTGTTTAGTTCTCATCCACAGTGAAAAATTTGGTTTACCTTTTCGTCCAAGCAAGCACCGACATCACTCTCTTTGCAACAGCCTTCAAGTGCATGCTCATAAGCAGCAGCCAGACCGAGAATTGCTGGGGCATACAAGAAGGGGTTTCTTCTTGCTACAGTGTAGACAAAACTATAAGGAAAAGGAAAACTTAAGTTAGATATTCTAATGACAACAGCAAATAGCCTTAAATCTCTTACAGCTTCTATGATTTTTATTTCCAGTTTAGAAATATAATGTATTTTGCTACCATAATGCCTACTAATGGTAAATGCTCCCCTAAATCTGACTGTTTCCAAAACAGGACTCAGTAACAGTGAGGGAAGAATGAACTCCTTATATCGCCAGCCAGTTAATGTGATGCACCTATGCTTTTTTAAAATGCATTGTGAGATATTTGAAAATACTGATTTTGAGTGTGAAAACTATCTGTGGCCATTTCAGCAAGATTTTATTGTGAAGTTTCACTTCTTTTTACTGTTGTCTTCTTTCATACCCTTTCCAGTTACAATGGGGCTAGTGGGAAACTGGAGCAAGTAAATGATTAAATCAGTATTGGAAACACTGTGGTCTTTCAGAGTTCTTTGGAGAAAAAAAAAGTCCCTCAAGATTTACAAAATGTGATCCCTTAAAGCCCATTTTTGAATGGAAAAACCTGCCCTAACAGGTTTCATTCTATTCTAAGACAGAACGAAAAAAACCTGATCAGAACTTTGGATATGTAATGATTCAGCAGCTGTTTTATAAATGCAGATATGCGGTTGAATACTTGCAACTTTTTCAAATGTCCTGCATGTCCACACACTTAATATAGCTTGGGGATCCTTCTTCTGCACAACTAAATACTTAGTACAAAATAGATGTTTTTCTTACTTTCCCAGGAATGACACCCTGTTGTCCTGGTACTGCTGGCATATCACATCAGCAGCTGGTCTTTGGTAAGGCTGAACGAAGTCTGGTTGGTGAACTTTGAATGACAGGAAACACTCATTTCTTTCAGGATCAGCTTTACTGCAGCAGTCAGCCATTGCACCATATGCGTCACGAAGCTTTTCTACTTGGCAGATTTCATCCAGGAAAATGGTGGGCTAAAAGGCAGATGCTAAGAGTCAGAATTATTGTTTATAGAAAGTACTTTCTACTTACCTACAAAAGAAAACCCAGACTGAAAACTAAAAACATTTTTACTGGGTGAGATTTAGATCATACATCAGAATAATTCATTGTTTTCAACACAATTTCATGAAGTTCTATTTTATGTGGTCCAATTCAAAACTGTTACAATGCTTTATTGAAAAAAAATTAATTGTTATATAAAATATTCCATGCAAGACAGCCATTGCCTCTTATAATCTGACTAAAGTGATTCTTCTGATGAATTGAAGCAGAATTTTATATTCTGCTTGATGATCAGCTTGGGAAGCCTTTAGGGAGAACTGATGTAATCATGTCATTTAGTTTGAATGTTAGAGCTCGCAAGAACACAGGCACCTAACTTGCTTAAGGGCCTGGCTGAACCTGCTAGACATGCAGGGAACTTACATACCTGCAAACTTTTTCTGTTACCTGATCTTAGAGGAGTTTTAAAAATAAAAAATTCTTACCTAAGTACTTCAAATTAGCACAGATATCTTTTAAAGTCACCCCAGTGTGAAAACCCACAGCCTTTGGGCACTTTAATACCTAGAATTAGACCTGTATTTTGCAGCTGGGGTATTTGTACTAAATGATAACGTTTATTTCCAGGCAATGCTAAACTTAATTTGCCAAAGTATGGTTTTGGGGCTCCCATATATGGCTCCACAGAACATTTAGGCACTTCCGAAAGGCAGAGTTTCAGAACCTGACAAAAAACAAGTTATTTGTTTCAGCACTAAAATGGGAGCATTGGCTGATGACAACAGTGACATCTGAAAGGGTCAGGCATAAATCCTCAAAGAGGATGATTCTGGTAGCTGCACAGAACGAGGAGAAACGCCATAGCAAAGGACTCTGCCTACCAGTGGTTTTCCACACTCAGGAGCATCCTCATTGGCCACGCACTTGTGTGCCAGATCAACAACATCCTTCACCAACTTGGACAGTCCCTCATAAGAACACCTCTGGAGATACTGGGCAAACGTGATCATGGTGCTGAAACACAAAGCGGATTTTGCAATATGGAGATGAGAAATGTAACAGTCATTATTTTTGAAGGCGCTTCTGAATTCAAAATTATTTGTTCCAATGATATGCACAAATGCTTAAACAAAGCACTATGAGGGGCATAGTACTGGGTCCCATATCCTTCCTCTTTCATCTCCTTTCTGAAAAGTGTTTTTGACCTTACTTCCCAAGAACAGAAGTTTTGACTAATAGATTAGAAACAAAACAGAAAAGACTGTGATTTGAGTTTTCAGCCACTTTTACCAGCATATTTTTAAGTGCCACAAACTAAGCTGGTTTTTGCCAGTGTTACAAATTATGATCTTCAGGCTGCCTTCTTTCAGAAGCAGTTATTTTCCTGTCAGGGCCCTCTGCCATTTCCAAAACCAGTTGCAAAAGAAAATAATTTAATTGTCTCAGAGAACCTGTCACAGGTTTGTTTTTTGAGCTTGGTTTGGGGTTTTTTTTAGTAACATCTCTGAAAGAGGGGAGATTTAGGCTAGACATTAGGAAGAAATTTTTCACTGTGAGGGTGGTGAGGCAGTGGCCCAGGCTGCCCAGAGAAGCTGTGGATGCTCCATCCCTGGAGGGGTTCAAGACCAGGCTGGATGAAGCTTGGCGCAACCTGGGCTAGTGGAGGGTGTCCCTGTCCGCGGCAGGGGGGTTGGAACTCGATGATCTTTAAGGTCCTTTCCAACCCAAACCATTCTGCGATTCTATGATTCAGTGAGACATACACACTCTTCACTAGCTCATACAGTGTGCTTTAGCTTCCCTTTTTTGTCCAATATCAACAGAGATGGAAAACAATCAGAAAATGTAAATTGACCATTCACTTACACTGCCTTAAATGTATCTTCCTTCAAATCATTGAAGCGATGGGCAATCTCACTCTTGTGTTCTAGGAAAGAAAACCAAAGAGAACAATGATGCTCGCTGTCATGTTTACTGTGCTAGACCCCTTAATGAAAACTTTCTGGGCACCTGGGGCCAGGTTTTCAGAAGTGTTCACCACTAACCCAGCTCTTATATTTAAGGGAGTAATATAACTATTTTGGAACAGACCAAGCTAATGCTGAGCACTTGTAAAATCCCAGCTCTGGGTACACCATCCTGGGTACTCTGTACTGCTCTTCTGGGAACTTCAATCTAAAGCTTTCTTCAGGCCACCTTGAACTCTTTGTTGGCTCAGATGACCATTCTTGTCCATTTGTCTGCAGATGCCTAACTCTTAAGCACGCTCATCTTTCTCAAGTAATCCTGAATTCTGAAGGAATTCTGAAGCATGTAATTTTTATGATTCTAGTACAGCAGTTACCTCTGTAAATACATACTTAAGTCAGACATCCAAAATGACTGCTGTAGCTTACTACTAAGGGTTAGCAAACATGTACTTTGCATAACCAACAACATGATCATGTCTACACTACAAATAAAAGAATGCAGCCACAGTTTGATTAGAGTGAGGATTAGTAGAATTTTCTTTTTTTGAACAAAAAATTATTGACTTGGAAGATTCCTAGACTTGTTCCACCCAGTGCATATCATCTGTGCTCTTCGTGAGCAGGAAAGCAGATAAATCCTTTCACTTGGTCCTGATGATAACAAATACAGGTTGTAGTTACTCATCACTCTTGGAGAGAAGACTTCCACAATATTTTCCCAACAGATGCTGAGGCATATGGCCACACTAATGAATGAACTAGAATAATTTTGTTCTAGAAATACCATTCAGGACCTTTTAGAAAACATGAAGAGTAATTCCTTTACCTAAGTTAATATACCTGCTTTGATAATAAGGGTTTCAGTGCAGAAAATTGTAATTTAAAGATTTTCTGCTGCTGTTCACTGGCATTTCCAGGCAGCTCCTGAAAACTCACTTTTGTTAAATTTGGGTATTTTCCTGTTTCAAACAAAAATAAAAAATATCAGTGGAAAAATTTCTAGGACTGCCTGCAGAAATATTTGACTAAGGTCTGAAGTTTAATAATACAGGGAGAAGTGACACAATTAGAAGTTTTTGGCTAGCCTTCTTGCAGCCTAGACTGAGATGTAGATTTTTGGATTTTTGACCTACTCGTGTGAAACCATTGCCTTTAATTGGTGAGGAGCTCACTTATGAACTACCATTCAAAAGAGAGCACTCCCAAAAGCACAGTGCACCCCCATTTGCCATGCTGGAAAGTAGCAGATTCTGAATAATCAACATCTGTTCATGCACTACACTCGTATTGCAAAGGGACGTCCCTAAACTTACTGGCCTAGTAACTGTCTGGAGCATGCTACACATCTCCTCAAGATTTCTTAATTTAGTTTCAAGTTTCTGTTCTCTTTGGATCAGGCTTGCAAGAATTGTACAAGAAATTGCATGAAAGTCATTAAATTGATATAACAAAGACTGCAAAGACAACTAATTAGTCCCTTCTTACCTGCATCTCGAGCAACTCTTTGCAGATTCCTGGATGTAGCAGAACTGAAGAGGAATATAAATGAAATTAATGTTACCCACTTCATGGTTGCAGATTATGATGTGGGACAAATTACTCAGAAGTGCTAGG